GCAAATTCCAGAACGCGTCAGATTATTCATGTGGACAACAACTAAAGGGAGGATTATGACCAATGATGTTCGAAAATTCAGACATCTAACTGACAATGATGCCTGCCCACTTTATGATAATGCCACAGAATCTATAGTTCATTGTCTAAGAGACTGCTATAGGAGCAAGATGATTTGGGAGAAGCTTATCCCACAACAGGAGCAGTCTTCTTTCTTTGGAACAGGTCAGGACACTTGGCTGAAGGATAACATTGAATAAGATGTTTTTTCAGAAGAGACAGGGGCTTGGTCGAGCTCCTTTGCTCTAGTTTGCTGGTACATCTGGAAACATCGGAATGAGTTCATCTTCGAAGCGGTCAGAATCTCTGACTCGACCCTCAGTAATTACATTATTTCCAAAGCCAAAGACTGGACAAAGGCTTGGAGGACTTCTATGAATGCAAGAAACTCTCAGACAACACCTATGAGAGAGGAACAGCTCATTGGATGGAATGCCCCTCCAAGAGGATGGCTCAAATTAAACATCGATGGGGCTGCTTAGGGGAACCCAGGAATGATGACAGCAGGAGGTTGTCTCCGAGACAGTGATGGCGACTGGATGAGTGGGTTTTGCTGCAAAATCGGGACTGGGACTGCCATTTTGGCGGAGCTATGGGGCATTTACAAGGGGCTCGAGCTAGCTTGGAAGAAAGGAGCACAATGCTTGATTCTCGAAACTGACTCCAAGTTAGCTATCGAGATGATTACCAGAAGAACTGACTCGGTTCACCCATATGCTACTATGCTTAATGCTATTCGCAGGTTTTTGGCTCAGAGTTGGATAGTTCGTTTAATTCATACGTATCGTGAAGGGAATAGAGTCGCGGACTGGCTCTCGAAGCACAGTCTCGTCTATCCTTTCAGAACGTATGAGTTAAATGAGCTTCCAACTGACCTTGAAAGACTGATTCGGGAGGATATCCTTGGGGTTAGTTTTCCTAGACAAGTTGTGATAGCTAACAATAGTAACTCAGACTTTAGATAGTTTCGTCAGGCTGCTCTTTGTTGTTTTTGCTGGTTTCGCCTTTGTGCCTCTTGTGCTGAAGGCGAACCAGGACCCCTTCCTGTACTTGTTGCTTTGATTCCTGGCAGTTTGCCTCCTCCCAATAAAAAAATAACAAGTTCTTATGTTGTGTATGGAATAGAAACTTACATTTTAAGCAGGGCTTGACGGGTGCATATCTTCTTGGTGATTAAGGAAATCAAATAAACTAGAAGGAGAAGCTTCCTGGCAGATTCCAACCAACACAAGTCAATGAAAGAAAGAATTTGAAAAGATAAGCGAGGTAAGAAGATTGGGATGCAAGAAGAAGCTTACCATTTATGGGGAGATTTGGGATTGGCTCAACATGGAAAGAATGCGCAAAGAGCAACAGTCATATTCTGTAACACTATAAAAGGGGCTGCTGGGCCATTAGGCAAAACATCTTTTTGGGAGATCAAAATACTAGAGAGCGTTATTTGCTAAGAGTGTTTTGGTAGGAAAGGGGTTCAAGCATATGGGGAGTTGCTTGGTTCAAGCATCGGTTAGGATTGACGCGGAGTTAATCTAGGTGATGGTATTGGGAAATACCGGGTTGTTCATTTGTAAATCAAAGAGCTTCAAGACATATCCTTATAGTGACAAGTTCGAGATCACAAACAGTGATACTCGAACCGTGAATTAGTCAGTATTGAGAAACGATTTCTCTCAACACTGGATACCACGTAAAAATTTGGTTGTCTGTTTTTAATTCTACAATTTTATGTTCTGCATTTTTGGTCAACTGTTCTTCATCTCTTCTTGATCCAAAGTTCCACAAAGGATAGCTTTGATCGAAAAAAACATTGAAGCAACTCTGCCTTTGTGTTTAATTAAACGTCTGCATTTAGTCATAGTTGGAGGTCTTTGGATTAAAGTGAAGTGAGCTGGGAAATAAGGTTGCAACGTGTTTTCTGTGGGCCAAATAGAAAAACGAGTTTCAATTAAATATTTGGGCTTGATCTCTGGCCCATAACTTCCTTAATCCTGCACGTTTTGAAGAAACAAAATTGAAAGGACATTTAGGATACTTTTTCCGATCAAAAGTTCTTCTTCCCATCGTTATTAAAGTTTTCCTTCGTACTAACCTAGAAATCGTTGAACTAAAAGAAAACTGCAGGTGCGATTTACAGTCGATCAAAGAGAATGCGAGCGCCACCGTGATCAACAAGTAGCAGATGTTGGTTATTTGATATTTTTGGGATGGGATCAGGTGCTAACCTCTATAAGGGTTAGCACCGTGATAACTAGCAAAACACGCTACTAAAAATAACGAAATCACTATGAATTATTATAAAATCAATACAACATCTAAGCTAAATCACTACTAATTCAAACTAGTTTGTCGGGATGGGATTAGGTGCTAACCCTTATAGGGGTTAGCACCGTGATAACTAGCAAAAAACGCTACTAAAAATAACGAAATCACTATGGATTATTATAAAATCAATACAACATCTAAGCTAAATCACTACTAATTCAAACTAGTAGTAGTTTTTCCCTTGGTTAGCACGGTGCTAACTATTGTACAATTAGCACCGTAGCCGTTCCCGATATTTCTGCTTCCTTGTATCAATACGTTGAGAAGGTACAACTAGAGTGTAGGGTTTTATCGATGAAATATTTAAAAAGAATTAATGAATACAATAAAATAGAAACACACAAGAACACTTTCGATATTCTATTTATGGGACCAAAGACATTTTTAGAATATGGATTATAATGAATATTGTTTATACCGGAAATTAATAAGGGTGTAGTCAGAAATTTTTAGTTTAATTCAATTCTAAATGTATGCCGAACATGGCTTGAGAATTGAATCCATTTTATTTCTAAAGATTTGAATAGGACATACCAAACACAAGAATTCATTTGGCAATGAATTTTACGTGGTAATTCATTTCAAAATGAAATGAATTCTCGACTCATTTGGTACTGAATGGCCTGTAAATAAAATTTGAATTCAAAAATCATGTTTGACATACGTTAAAAATTGAATTAAATTAAAAATTTCATTACCCTTATTAATTTCTGGCATAAACAATATTGATTAAAATCCATCTTTTGAAAAACACATTTTGGTCTCCTTCATAGAATATCAAAAGTTTTGCTTGGTATTGAAGTTAGGGGTGGTCAAACGGATTGGTTATCGTGGTGACCATATTAACCAGTAGCATTCGGTTAATTTGGATTGGTTTGGTTTGGTTAAACAATTTATCTTATTTGGTTTGGTTTCAACACTGCTAACCATTGAAACCAATTAACCAATTAATGATACACCTAATATACAAAATTATTTATACTTCTATGCAACCAACCAAACCAAACTTTCTTGATTCTCTATTTTATTTCCATATGTGCACAACAAACCAAAGCATTATGGGTCAAAAATTAAATGGGACTGCCTATTTACTAAACAAAAACATTTTGAACAACTATTAGACTTTAGGATTACGTACAATACCATGACAACCACCTCAAACTATGTATAGTTTAAGTGTTTTGTAGGAGAGCTTTAACTTCCTAATGAGTGGTATTAGTATGTATTTAATATTTATGTTAAGGGTTTGTTGTAAGCTAACTATATTAGGTGAGGAGATGATGAATGATGTATTAACTCGAATGATGATGATAATCATGGTTAGCCTTATTATTAGGGTTATAGGTATAATATGCCCCTCTACTATGACGTTTTATAAAAAATGCCCCTCTACTATTTTTTTTACATCAAACATGCCCCTGTACTTTGTAAAAATTATAAAACATGCCCTTTTGTTAAAATTTTCATCAAAAACTGTTAACCAAGGCCGAAATTTAGTTTGAGCGACACAAATGACTAAAATATCCCTAAAAAATTAATTTTAGAATTTTTTTGGTTCTTTCGTATAATCGAATCATTCAAATAATTTCACTTTGAAAAGACCCAGGGAAATAAAACAGGGGACAAAACTGACATTTTCCCTCCCATTTGCCGATGTCGGGTCGTCTAAATCTCAATTCAACCATGATTGACGATTTTTCAATGGAAATTTTAACAGAAGGGCATGATTGATAATTTTTTCAAAGTACAGGGGTATATTTGATGTAAAAAATAGTAGAGGGGCATGTTTGATAAAACGTCATAGTAGAGGGGCATATTATACCTATAACCCTTATTATTATTTCTTATATATAATGATAGTTTATGATAGTAATAACATATGGTTATGTTTTATTCATTAACATGATAATTGTTTTCATGTAATGTTATATTATTTGGTTAATCCAATTATCCGATTAACCAAACCAATTAAACTTTAGTTTGGTTAATTTGGTTTTCGTGTTAATTTGGACGGTTTGGTTAAGACATTTTATTCCATGGTTAATGAAATTTAGACTTAATTGGTTTGGTTATTACCATGGTAACCATTTGAACACCCCTAATTGAAGTTGAGGAGCATAAGGCAACTGGTCCATGATTTATCTGGTTAAAGAAGCAGAAAAACAATCTGACTACTAGACGGTTCCATAGGGTCTTTGTCAACTTTTCTTCGCTTGAAGTCATGAAAGAGAGTGAAGTGCATATGTAGTTTGGATACTCTAGGAATGCGTTATCTGGAAGTCCCAAACATATGTTGTAGCCTCATCATTATCAGTAGAGGAGGATTGTGAATTTGTATTAACTGAAGATGATGTTGGGGTTGCACCTGCAAAGGCAGTTGCAGTGGAACTGAGAGATCCTGTTGCTTCTGAATCTTCAGGCTGCTCTTCATTATCTGATTCCTCCTGTTCACCATCATTGGTTTCCCACTGAATTATGGTCAAACCTAGGGTGATTTTAGCATTCCAGATCCATCCATACTATTCCTCATCGAAAACAGATCTTTGTTGACTAAAACATTTTTGGTACTAGGGTTATACAATCTATATGCATTAGATGCAAAAGACACTCCAAAGAGAATGCACGTTGTATTCTTAATTTCAAGTTTCTTCCTCTGCTGGTTAAGTGCATGAACATATGCTGCACACCCAAATATCTTAAATTGTTCTACTGAAGGTGGAGTTACATACTATAGTCCCTGTGAAATCCTGTTCAGTATGTGTGTGGTCCAACTTACTGCTTATGTCCATAAGATTGCAAGTACTTTGGTGTCCACAAACATACACCTGGCCATGTTGAGAATGGTCTTATTCCTTCTTTCAGCCACCCCATTTTGCTTTGGAGTAAGAGTTGCAGTTAACTGTCTTCTAATTCTCACTTCATCAAAGAATGCTTGAACTCATTTGCGAGAAACTCTCCACCCCTATTTGTTTTGGGACACATGATTGTGGCCTTCCCTTCCTTTTCCACAAGAGTCTTAAAAACTTTAAACATCCTAAATATTTTTTACTTATGTAAACCTATAATTTTTTGCTAAAGTCATCTATTAAGGTGAATATGTACCTCCTCCCAGTGCTTGACACTGGAGTGATAGGGACACATAGATCATCATGGATCAATTGGAGCTTTTGTGTTGCTTGCCATTGATTGTGCTTGGGAAAGAATGTTCTATGTTGCTTTCCTATTAAACAGGTTGATCATACTCATGTTTTGCCCGTCATAACAGGTAATCCCTTCACAATTTCTCCTCTTTGAAGTCTCGTTCTTGATAGTTCAACTATCCATACCTTCTGTGCCACATGATCATTTATGCTTCCGAGTTATCATTGATCTGCATACACTTGTTTCAGGTTCTTGAGGCAGATCATAGTGCAAAACAAACAATATGTTAATTTTCATCCTTGTCTACAATAGAAGCCCATTTCACCATGAAATATCTTGCATACTTTAGTTTGAAAAAGGGAATTCAATTCCTTTTCCTGCATCTGGCCTATGCTACCGATTTGACTTCAAACCTGGTACCTGGAACACCTCTTGTACAACTAGAGTTATCTTGTCCATATTAAGCTTAATAGTTCCCTTGCCTTGCACAATTAATTTTTTTTCATTTTCTAGTTTGACTGAGCAAGTAAAGAAGTGTTGAGTGACGAAAACCATCTTTTTTCTTCTGTCATGTGATTGTTGCAATCAGAATCCAAGAACCACCACCCTTCATGCTATTGAGATGTATTCAATAGGCTCCTTAGTAATTTTGGTTCAGTCTCAGTGGCTTCAGTACAAGACATGAGAAGGACTTCTTCCTTCATGTTCGGAACTGACTTTCTTTAGCATAACAACATGAGTAAAGTGATTCTGCTGCCATAGAGTTCAGGACACACATAATTGAAGTGACCTAAATTATGGCAGCAGAAACACTCTACTGTATCTCTATTCCATATCATGCCTCTACCACTTCCTTGAAAAGCTCCACTTCCAGTCCTTGTCCACCCCGACCACCAAAATCATGGCCGATGTTCAGAGCATGGTCATCACTAGCTTCCTTTTCATGAATTTTTCCTAATGAACCAATAGGTATCTCTGAATTTCATCCACTATGAGTGTATCTATGTCTTTCAACTCCTCAATGGAGCAAACGATAGAGTTGAATCTCTCAATGATTGTCCTTAAAATCTTTGCTACTATCTTCACATCTGATACTTCTTCTCCATAGTTCCTCATGTCATTTGCTACCACCATCACTCGACCAACATAATCATTCACACTCTCTCCATTCTTCATTTCCAACACCTCAAAACTTCTTCTCGAAGTCTGCAGCTTAGCACCTTTCATGGAATCCTAGAGCTCTTTTGTAGTTGCCTTCTAAGTTGTAGTATTTCGGAGTGTCTTTTAATAAAACTAAAAAGATAATTCTTTACCTTGAGATCCTTCAGCTTTAACTCATGAAGTTCTTTGCTTTCTTATTTGTCAGCACCTCAGTTGTTGTAGTTTCTACTTCAGTGGAAATCACTTCCCAGAATTCCTTATATCTGAGCAGGTTTTCAATAACCTAGCTCCAATGATCATAGTAACTATCAAAGCGAGGAATACATAGGTGAGGAAAGCCAAAATTTTCACTCATTCTTCACACTTTCACAACATTCACACAATAATCATGTTTCACTCACCTTTATGAATGTCCTCACACAAAATCCCTCGTGTTTTCCAACCCAGATCACTCAAACTCTCTTTGCTCTTTAACTCACAATGGTGTGGTTATAGTAAGCCAATACTATGATACCACAATAATAGCAAACTTAGGGCAAACTAACGGTTTGTTATTGAATATGAAAACAAAATAAAACGTGCTTAAGCCTAGAACCCAAGCTTCCCTAACTGAAACGATCGTTCTGCCCCTAAAACTCAGCTAACATGACTCAACTACCTAGCTACTAATCTGCAACTAACCAACATACTTCATTGCCAAGTTTCTACAAGCCTGAAACTCTAAGGATTTAACTAACAAGAAACAGAGCTCAAGGATCAAAGTGAAACTTGTCCAAAAACGGCTACACGCGGTTACCTTACCTTATCTTATCGTAACTGTTATTTACTTTATTGTCCTTAGTCAATTAGGTTTGGCTTGCTATATAAATTTCTCTTATGTCATTCCTCCAGGAATTATGCAAAGAATAAATCTAAAGTATTAGTTTAGCTATGGAGTTCAACGTACAAGTAGAATAGGTATTTATCAATCCATCACTCAAGTGACTAGAACTTCCAAACGGTAACTGATTTAATGGGCGTACCCTTCCATCCAACGATCAAGCTCTTCCCATCCATCCCAACCGTACAAGGACCCCAACTCGGCAGTCGTTTCGTCACAAGCTCTGCCTGATACAACGACGATCGGCTGAGCTCCACCTCCCACATTCCGAAACGTTGGAAATAAGTCCTCCAAACATCCACCTTCATGTTTCTAATAATCCTCTCTCGTCCTTCAATCGCCACAACAATCTTGCTCGCCTCCCCAAACAAGGTCTCCTCCCCGTACTTCCTCACCACCTCATCATCTCTCCCTATGCATTCCTCCATGCAGTCGAAGAACGCGCTAGTGAAGAAGAGCGATTCCACGAACCGGTCTATGAAGACCGGCGAGTTCATGTTCCCTTCCACCTCCCCCACCACCATGACACACGGGTTGAAGCTCCGTATCACTCGAACCAACGAGTCGAGCCGGTCCATAGGTTCGGTCATAGTGTGGAGCACGTACTCGGCCAGCACAGCTACGGCTTCATCCGGTTGAACCTGTATGTGGTCTCGGCGTAGCTCGGCTAGGTCCGAGACCATCACCACGTCGAATTTGCAGGGCAGACCCACGCTTTCCGCATAGCTCACCAGCCTACTCCCCGTTCGCTCGATCTGTTCCTGCCCCAGGGTCGCCACGGCGGTTATTTTCAGGCGACGGACGCGACGACGTTTCGGTCGCGACGACAGCGCCTGCATCAGGATGATCCACTGCTGCCCGTTTCTCACCGCGAAATCGAGGATGTGGATCTTTGTGGTGCCATCCAGTTGCTCTACTATGGCCTGGATCCCCGCGAACTGCGCCGCGTGAGAGAAAGGGATCTTGGACTGGAACTCAATTGACCGGATGCTCGGAATCATCACGACTTTGTAAAGATCTCTCGACCGCTCCGTCACCGTCTCAGGCGGTGACGCCGATCGCCCGGTTTCCCGGTCGATTCGGTCGCGCAGAGCTTGAGAGTAGTAGAATACTAGTCTTTGGACCGGGTTCCCGGTCGGAGAAGACCGCCGGTCACACTGATCGAGCAGTGTCCTCGACGGGTCGAATCTGCGCTCGCCCACCTCCTCCGCGGCTTCGAGGAGGAGCTGGGCGAGCGTCACGCTCTCGGATTCATCCTCCGATAGTTGAACGTCGAACGACGTCGTATCGTTCGAGCGGGACCACACGAACTTGGACGCCGCGATCCTGACCAGATCTTCGACCGACAATGGCGCATCATTCGAGGACGAAGCACCGAGGGCGCCAGCTGGCGGCAGCTGGGGCGCATCTTGATGAGGAAAGGAGGTGGCGGAAGGCGGGAAAGCGAGGAGTTCGATTCCCGGCGGCGGGAAAGAGAACTCTCCGATTGCGCCAGGAATAATCGGCAGCTCATCATCATCTTGTACGTTCGGAGCTCCGCCGCCAAATAAATTTGATCCTTCAGGAGAGAAAATGTCATGATTTTCCATTTCTGACAAAGAAGAAAAAATAAGGCATTAATATAGACCCAGAAGAGTCGTGAGACTCTTTCACTTTTTTTGTTGTTGCTGCTGCAGCTGTGAAGTGCAGATCTCTGATTCTTTTTTCCGTTGACGACAATGGCTAGCTAACAGAGGCCTTAGTTAATTACCGACGGAAGTTCTAACAGAAGAAATATAGGATTAAAAATTGTAGGGTGGAATCATGTTGAATTGCTATTATTCGATCGGCTAAAAACTACCAAACCCATCCATTGTTCGTTATTTTTTGGCGGGAGGTCGCAATGTTCCAAGTTTATATACTTGCGTCTCTAAGGTGTAAGGTGTCAGTTAAGTTGACAATTGGAAAAAAAAATCTATTCAGAAGTTTCACGATCCGTAATACTAATAGTAGATTTAAGTACAGTGTATGATTGGACATGTGCATTCTTCATGCGTTTGCTTTTATTTGAGGAGCTGTGTAAAAGAGTGATATAATATTTATAATTAACTTTTTTTCAATAATTCGAATTATTGAGATCAAATGATTTATGACATGATATTAGAGGTAGCTTGATTACAAATGATGTGGTCAAGTTTCCATTATGCCTAATATTAATAGTCGATTTAAAGTATATGGGTTACTGGGTATGACAAATATATTTTTCAATATTTTTTATTTATGACACCATTCATATTCAAAAGTTTCATTTTGATATCAGAAATAACCAGACATGCCTACGAGAACACCACAACAGACGTCGAATGGAGGTGGAACACAACATCTCCCACTTTCCGGAACGAACGATCACAAGGGTTAACCATTAAGCTGTGTGACATTTGGCTACGTACATTTATTCGAGGTATGGTTTAATAAGTAGATGGTCTTACAGAAAAAAAGAAATTATAAAAATGGACTTTAACGGGGTTGGTTTTATCGTGGGTTGGGGCCTGGGGAAGGATGACATCCAAAGCGTACGTGTGGCGAACTGATAGGTAATTAGTTTACTTTAAAATCGCCTCCGTTTGATCAGCCTAGCTAGTTGAGGTGTAAATGTAGGGATTTGTTTATTCACCGTTCGGCTACTAAGTGGATTCTGTTTTGTGCGTATTCCTTTTTGTGTCCGCCGGATTTGGAAGCCGGCTCGGGGAATCTAAGAGAGAACCCTACGTGCGTTCATAAAACTATTGGCTTTTCTGCCAATAATAAAAATAGAACTACTAGCTTCCTAGTAAGCTTTTAGGTTATTTGGATGAATCAATCTAGAAATAAGTCAATTTAATCAATTGTCTCGTTTTATAAATGAGGCAATTAAAACGAGTCAATTCGAATTATCTGCCCCCTGTCAAACCATATGAGAACTGAAAAGAAACTAGATCACACACACGATTTACGTGGTTTCCCCAGCAAGAATTGCTGAGACTAGTCCACGGAGAGTGAACCTCTCGAGTCAATATTATTAGGTTTTCAGCCACAAACGTCACCTACATACAACTCGGCCATCAACACTATATATACTTGGCCGAGATTAAGATCCCTAAACCCAAGGACCAGATTAGTAATTAACCTTAATCAATGGTCAATTACTAATACATACATATTAACTTCAACTCCCTCCCTCAAATTGATGGTGCTGACGCAACATCAATTTGTGAGCCAGAAACCAGTGACGTGCCTTGGAAACTGCCTTGGTTAGAAGATCTGCTGTCTGATCTTCGGAAGTGATATAGGAATGAGTTATCAGACCTTCTGCAACTAACTGACGAATATAGTGAACGTGAACTTCAATATGCTTGGTGCGATCATGAAGTATCGGATTGGTAGCTATCCGGATTGCACTAGTGTTATCTGCAAAGAGACGCAGCGGGACCACACACTCAATCCCAAAATCAGCCAACAGGCGCTTCAACCACACGAACTCAGAAGCCACTTCTGACATCGAACGATACTCCGCTTCACTAGAAGATTTCGTAACACGTTCCTGCTTCTTACAGCGCCAAGAGACAAATGAAGGACCAACCTTAATGCACCACCCTGATGTAGAGCGACGAGTATCAAGACATCCTGCATAATTTGCATCCGCATAGGCCTCAAGAGTAGGAGAGCCAACCGCCGGAAAGAACAGACCAACACTTTGTGTTCCTTTCAGGTATCGTAAGATACGGTGAACAGCGGTAAGATGAGTAGTGCGAGGAGCCTGCATGAATTGACTAACCACCTGCACAGCATAGGAGATGTCAGATCGGGTGTGAGTCAAATAGAGAAGGCTCCCAACGATACTACGATATTGTGATCCATTAGAAAGCAACTCTCCATCAGACTGTCGAAGGCGGAGATTCTGTTCCATAGGAGTAGAACACGGAAGACAATCATCCATATGCGCAGATTCCAATAGATCAACAATATATTTCCGTTGTCCCACCAGTAAGCCCTCGGGACGTCGTTCAATCTCTAAGCCGAGAAAGTACGACAAGTTGCCCAACTCCTTCAAGTTGAATGCCTCTCGAAGGGCTTGGATAAGCTCTTGAATACCTATATGATCATCACCACTCACCACCATATCATCAACATAGATGAGAAGAATAGTAAGACCTCGAGTGGTACGACGCAGAAATAAGGACGGGTCATTCTCACTTTGAATAAAACAAACATGAATAACTGTAGTATGGAATTTCTCAAACCAGGTACGGGGTGCCTGTTTGAGACCATACAAGGAGCGACGAAGACGACACACCTGAGATGGATCTCCTTTACTATAACCCGGTGGGCGCTCCATGTATATGGTTTCCTTCAAATCACCATGAAGGAAGGCATTTTTTACGTCCAACTGCAGTAATTGCCAACCCTTCAAAGCAGCAACGACAAGTAAACTGCGAATAGTCTGCATTTTGGCCACGGGAGCAAAGGTTTCCTCATAATCAATTCCGAATTCCTGTTTGAATCCCTGTGCAACAACTCATGCCCTGTGCCGTTCAATAGACCCATCAGGAAGAAGCTTTAGAGTATAGACCCACTTACATCCAATGACAGGATATTCCGGACGTCGGTCCACCAAGTCCCATGTGTGAGCACGATCAAGTGCATCCTTCACCTCATCCATCGCACGTTCCCATGGGGCAAGACCCTTGGCCTGTTTATAAGTGGCAGGAACAAAGACAGACTGTGTCGAGTAGGCAATAAAATCTGAATGATGAGCTGGGGGTTGCCCTTTGGTTGCACGCGTGGAACGACGGAGAGGAGGAGTCGGGGACAAGGGCCCGACTTCCTGGGAGGTGGCCGAATCAGACGAGCTCAAAGAAGAAAATGATGATGATGACCCGGAAGAGCTGTCATCTGCGGAAGAAGACAGAGAAGTACTGGAAGTAGATGATGGTGGAGTGGGAGGATCTGCCCCATCATCCATATCATGCCCATTTGCGATATCCAGGGTTGGAGAAGTGGATGGGAAGTCTGGTAACGTGACAAGGAAGTCCAAATCTTGTGCTTCTTTATCTTGTGATGAATTATAATGAAACAAATGCTCCAAAAAAACCACATGGCACGAAATCCGAATCCGTTGATGCTCAACATCGTAGCACACATATCCTTTATGTTTTTCACTGTAACCCATAAAAACACACTTGACAGCCTTCGGAGTAAGCTTAGTCAGTTCTCCAATAGGACGTAGCACATAGCAAACACAGCCGAATACACGAAGCCATTTATAATTTGGAAGTTTGGAGTACAGAACCTGAAACGAACTTTGTTGTTGAAGAACTGGTGTTATTTGACGATTGATCAAATATACCACTGTGTGTACAGCCTCTACCCAGAAATGAGAGGGCACCTGAGAATGAAACAGGATAGCGCGAACCAACTCCAAAACATGTCGATGTTTTCGCTCGACCAGATCATTCTATTGCGAGACACCAGGACATGATTGTTGAGCGATAATGCCGCGTTCCCGGAAGAGTTCTTGAAGAGGATTCAAGGTGAACTCTCCACCAGGATCAGAGCGAATAATCTTGACCTGCTTGCCAAACTGTGTATGAATCATCTGAAGAAATTCCCGAGCTGCAGGTAAAAGATCCGACTTTTTGCGTAAGAAGTAGACCCATGAGTACCGTGAGGCATGATCTATAAAGAGAGCGAAATAACGGAACTCCAAGCGAGACGTGACTGTAGACGGACCCCAAAGATCCGTGTGGACCAAGTCAAATGGAGTGGAGTGCTCTGTAAGACTAGGTGCAAAAGAGGATTGAGAAATCTTGGTCTGGATACAGTGCTCACAAACATGTCCCGGATCTGAACTAGTAGAACTAGAAAGCCATTTATTCTTGAACATGGTCGAAAGTCTCGAAGAATGTGGGTGGCCTAAACGACGATGCCACAATTCCCAATCCGATAATCCAATAGAATAAGTCGAACAATGTGATAAAGGAGTACATGAAAAGGACTTGGGATTAACACTATTATTAACTAAAGAAAGTTCTCCAGAACTATTTAAAAGAACCCTTCCTTTGTCAACAGGGGCATCCAACTTGTGAAAATCACCGCCACCATTGTCCACAGAATCGCCATGCACACACTAGCTTCCCCTCCCTCAGCTCCACGTGAGATGGAAGTTAGCTCAAAGACACGTCGATGTTTATTCCCCTTCCTATCTCCTTCCCCGTTCTCATGTCCTGCACAACACAACCGGTTGCATCAAACGTAATACTACATCCACTATCGACCAGTTGACCCACGGAGACAAGATTTGGAACCAATTTAGGAACATATAGAGTATCAGGAAGAGTCATCCCGTTAGCACACACAGTCCCTAGCCCTTTAACAGTGAGCCGAGAGCCATCTGCTACTTGTAACTCCATATTAGGACCCGGACGAATAGTATCAAATAACTTACGTGAACTTGTCATATGATTAAAAGCTGCAGAATCAATATGCCATGAAGAGGAGGAACCAGATTGCCTACCCGTAGAGAATACCGAAGTCAGTGCACAAGGAAGAGCATCTCTGATAGCTGCCTGCACGAACTGGCGAATGTCAGCAGAAGACATAAACACAGCAGGCGAGTGTGAAACCTGTTCAGCTGCAAAAGCGGGTGCCGGGAAGGAGCCTGCATTCCGTCAAGGACCCCCCCGATCCTCCTCCTGAGCCACGGCCACGGCCACGCTTTGCCAAGATCGGGCAATCAGCAATCAAATGACCGGAGTTCTTGTAATAGTTACAGACATTTCGCTTCTTGAAGTGAAACTGGATATGTCCCGGCTCCTTGCAGAAATGACAGATAACAACACCATTGGGTGTGC